ATATCCCAATGCCCCGGCCCTCAAAGCCTTTCTTGACCTGCAGACACAGATAGATATGGGGAAGAACTAGTAGCATAATCATCAGCATCAAGCACAATCCTTTTACCGCAGCATTATATCATAGCACAGTTCTTTGTCAACCAGTCCATACCCAGAAGATAACTTGAAGGCTGATCATAGGTAAACAAATAAAATCCAGCACGTAATCTCGGCCTTCATATTTTTCGAACGGCCATAAAATCAGACATACAGGAGTGTGTAGCTCCTGAATCAAACAACACTTCAACATCCATATTATCAATGTAAATTGTACCTTTCACTAGATTCGGAGCCTTCTCCGATTGCTGACGGTCCATGGTATATACTCTACCAACCGTCTGAGACTCTAGCATAGGTTGAACAACAGAGACCGGAACAGCAGTAGCTTGAACTCCATAGTTCTTGCTTCATTCTGAGGACACTGCCTAGAGTAGTGACCGGATCTTCCACATTTAAAACAAATTAATTCTCCGGTAGCACATGGACCCCTATGCTCTTTGCCACATCCCCTACACTTGGGAGGAGGTCCTCTATCAACAAACTTCTTCTGAGTACCGGGTTTTTTGAACAAGTCAAAGGGCTTATTCGCATTCAGCTTCTTGCCTTGCACCTTCTTGTTCTTCCAATAACCTGAGCTATACACTTCCTCCACCTTTCTACACTGGTTTACAAACCGACTGAATTCTCGGATGTCACAATTTGACATCTTCCGAGACATCTTTTCATTAAGACCCCATTGGAACTTGGAGGTCATTTCAGCCGGGGTGGGTAAGGCTCGCCCATAGTTGGCGTATTTCACCAACTCATTGAATTTTGAGAAGTATTGGTCAATAGACATCGACCCTTGTTTGAGATCGTTATACTCATTCTGCTTTTGTTCCCTAGCCTCTCTAGGGAAGTAGTTGTCCAAGAACAATGTCTCGAATAACCGCCATGTGATCTCCCGACCTTCAGCTTCTAATGGCTGCACGGTATTTGTCCACCAATCTTCTGCTTCCTCTTCCAGCATATAAACAGAGTAAGCCAACTTCATTGCGTCAGGGCACCTCATCACCCTGAATATCTTCTCCATAGCTTGGAGCCATTTTGCAGCCGCCATTGGCTCATAACCTCCCTTAAAAGAAGGAGGTTTATGTTTTCGGAAAGCCATCAGTCTCCTTTCCTCCATTTCATGATCACCGACATTTTCAACTTGAGGTTGACGAACCTCAGTGTGATGACTCCGACTTCCGGAGTGGTGACTACCTTCACCCTCATTGTTACCCACTCCACCCTCTTCCTGTGAAGGAGGTGGAGAAGGCGTAGCAGTGTGAGGAGGAGGAGTGGGTTGCCGGTTCACGGGCCTAGGACCCCTCAACGTCCTCAGCTCGGTCATCATCGCGGCCATAGCAGTCCGCGAGTCTTCATTTGTCTTTAACAAATTTTCATTGGCTTGCCTGCTAGCAGCCAACTCTCTCTGAACGGCTGCAAGAGCTTCAGCCACGGGATCAGGCGGTACGCCCGTTGCCCCACGGCCACTTCTAGGCCTCACAAGAGTAGCCAAAACAGGTTCTGGCTGAGCATTGGTGTTTGATGGTCCGGGGTTGTTTCGGTTCCTCGTCATGTCACTACACATGTTACACAAAGAAGTGAGTTGATCAGGCCCACACTTAGTGATCACAAATGCAATAATCATCAAGAGTACTAAAACAACTATAAAGCATCAAACACTAAGCATACTTAACAATTTCCGACGAAACTGCTCTGATACCATAAAATGTAACACCCCGTTCTAGAACCGGTTTGTTAACATCGCATTATGATATTAAGCGCAGTTACAATCACATGGGTTCAATTAAAATCCGGATAAATTTTTCATTTTAAAACGTACCGAACTTATAATACCCAATTTCGTGATCATAACCATATTACCTTGCGGAAACAGATAAATTAAGCTTAACATCATGTTCATTTCCCATTTTTAAACCATTAATTTACTTCTTGTTTAATTCAATACTTCTACTATATAGTAGGTTTCTTCATTAGCTACCCGTGGCTTCAAACCGTGCTCAAATCGGAGCACTGTAGTCCAAGTTAGGACAATTTGAAGCAACACAAGAGAGTGTTGGTCACAGGCCCAGCGCGCTTCAGCGCGCTACCGGGCGCTCAAGCGCGCGCTATCGGGCGCTAAAGCCTCCATCTGGGCGCTTAAGCGCACGGAGGCAGTAAGCATCAGCATTTCCAGTGTGGATGGGCGCTTAAGCGCGCAACAGGGCGCTCAGGCGCGCTAGCCTGGGCGCTCAAGCTCCCACTGGGACGTTTTAGCGCGCAGAGACAGAAGCATCTCCTCCTTCAGTGGCGAAGGGCGCTTAAGCGCGGACCAGGGCGCTCAAGCGCGCAACCCTGGGCGCTTAAGCCCCACCCTGGGCGCTCCAGCGCGAGGAGGCAGAATGCATTGGCACTCGCAGGGGCAGCAGGGCGCTTGGGCGCGCTCCTGGGCGCTTAAGCGCGCTGCCAGGGAATTCCAATTCCCACATTTCTCAAGTCCAAGCCTAGGGGAAAATGCATCCCCAATACAAACCACAAAGGTCCATGCCCCAAAACTAAATCCTAGCACTCATCCAACCTCTCCTCATGAGATTTAGCTAGAATTTGGGCAGCATGACCTTTGTTTTCTCATCGTTTACCAGTTTAAACGAAGAGGGTACCTAATTGATTTTCAGCCCGACCAATTCAACAACTCAATACATAACAAGCATGCATATATTGAATTCCAAGTAGGCATCATTTACATTACATATCCTTTACAAATCATAGAACTTAGCTTACAAAACACTATGATCATTCCCTTGGCTCCCATCAACAAAAGGTGTAACCAAAGGCATGAGCATAGGCTAAGTTCATTCAATGAATCAAGGCATACAAATGACCAAGGGCTTTCAAAATAAACTCCTATACATGTCAACTACAAAAGGCATGCATAAACTCAAAGAAGTGCCATATTTCATGCATAATCCAGATATGGCCACTTGCCATCAGAGGCTCCTGCAGCATCCTTACCTGAAAGGGGGTCCCCACAACACGGGGTGAGATATACGAATATATCCAGTAAACCAGGGGTCCTTGGAGCATCTCTCCACCCCACAGTTCCATATCAGTGTAATAGCAATAACAATAATAATGCAGTAAATACATATCTATACAAAGTGCAATACATCTCCAGGAGAAATCCCTCGAGCTCTCAAGCTGTCCTAAGGAAACTCAGATGCAAATAGTCCTACTGGCCAGCTAACTACCAAGTATGATTTACGCATCGTCATGCCACATACCAACATAGGGAAACACCATCCTATGCCACACCAAATGCATACACATACGTATAACAAAGCATTACACTATTTTATTGCATTTATATACACAATCACAACCTCCACCCTTTCAGGGCTTGGTAGAACAGTCAAGGGAATTACACCCAAGGTCCGAAGGCTTACCTCAATGCTTCAGTCAACCTTTGTTCTTCACCAACAGTTTCAGCAGTCAACTTTTACAAACATACACCTACACATGGTGTAATGCAATCAACACATTGCATCCAAGAGTATTTCACCATCAACCATCAATTACTCAATTCAAAGCACAACACAAGTATGAGCTTACCAATTCCAATGAGCTATTCAAGCTCCATAGCTTGCTCCAATGGTTGATCACTCACGGTTGGTCCAAATGTCTCAATCCTAGACATCACAAGGATCCAATCAATCATTCAACTCACTAATTGTTCAACATGCTAGAATACTAACCAATCCAAGCATGAATTTTCCAATATTATGAACAATTATCAAATGACTATCTAGGCTCATTTCCACCGATTAAATGACATTCCTAGCATTTTCCATAACATGCTCTAAGCTCCATTCTTCCTAGAACATAGCTAATTCAACTACATTTCATAAAAATCCCAATTTACTATTCACAAACCCTAACTCATGCAAATTTCAAGGAATCATGAGGTTCAAGGGTTAGAATCTTACCACCAATGGTCACACAACCAAGGATTGATGGCTCCTCAAGCTTCAATGGAGGTAGAAACTCTCAAAACCCCAAATTTCTCCAAAGGGCCGAATTTTTGAGAGGTAATATCTCTCTCCACAATGCTCCCCACTCAAAACAAAGCTAGGATTATGATAGAGGGCGAGATTCTAAGCGATTTAGGCTTTTGAATCATCCAAAACCATCAAGGTTTGATCTCTCTCTCTCTTTTCCTCCCTTCCTTCCTCTTCTTTCTCCTTCTTCTTCTCCTTCTGGCGTCGTGAAAATGGGGAGGGGAATTGGTTGCTTTTTACTTTATGCCACTTAACTTTGTTAAGTGGTTAAAAAGCGGGTATCGGTTCATCTATCTATTCAACCCCAATAATTACCAAACTTTACCCAAAAGTCTGGAATATTATTCTTGGAATATTACTATTTTTATTTTTATATTTTGGGCACTTTTGACAGTACCCATTTATACCCCTTAATTTTCACTGAGTACACTTTTTAACTCCAAAGTGACTCAGATTCATTTTATTAAGCCTCACACTTAATTTCACCCAGTAAAACATGTTTAATTAATTAATTACACTTGATTTCCTAATTAATTAATATGGGCTATTATAGACCCTAAGATGCTTAAGTTGCCTTTACCTGTCTCCCTTCTGTTCTTTTTAATTACTTTATATTTTGGTGGATTGGTGTGGTTTCACAATATGTGGAATCTTCTCCTTTCCCTAAAGCCTTCCGTCCTTGGTGATGGGGGGAATCTAACCCAAGTCCTTGTGCCAAGTGCTAAGGACTTTACCTTTGAACCAATTGACACCTTCAGCACTTTCTAATTTCTTTTGCAAGGTTTTCTTCATCAATTTGAAAAAAAAATTACATTTGATCTGAGGCGTTCTCCATGTTTCATCTTTAATAAGTGAAGCAATTGTTAACGGGTGCTATGACATCAGTTCTGTTTTTTCCCATGTTATGATCCTTATCGTCTCTTATTAATTGCACTTGTAGAGAAGTTCTCTCGTCATCTGATAATCCGCATACCAAAGGCTGCTTTTAAGGATAACTCTCATGCAGGTGCATTCATTTCAGAAGTAAGTATACTAATCTTTTTCCATCTTACGAGTAGAGATAAAGTTTGGATTAGGATGGTTTTCTGTCAATTCTTGAGATTCCAGTCCTCTCTGTCTCTCTTTACAGTTACATGCACACGCATATTGAGTGACTTTATAAATAATTTGAATTCAGCAATTATCAATGTTCGATATGAATTACTTTTTCAAAAAATGTTATTGTTAGCTGATAAAAAGGAAGGTTTATGGTAGTTACGCAACCTTCTCTACAATATTTCTTTTGTAGAAGTATCATCTATCAACTATTGTCACTCTGTGATGACATATTACCAGATATGCTCAAGAATTCAAAACGAAAGGGGGAAAGATAGAAGTTTCGAAAAATTGTTTGTGATGAAAGATTCAAGCAGCACTGAATCTGCATGCCAACTTTTTGTGGATACTGCTGTTTATTCTCGGAATCGTTGTTTCCGTCTCCTTCTATCTTCAAAGGCAGGAAAAAGTGCAGTTCTTCTACCAACAGAGCGATTTAAGTGCAAGCACTTGGTATGGTACTTTTCTTATATAATTTCACTATTTCAAATTATACCATCAATAGTTATAGGGGTTTGCATTTGTCATTTAACATGACACAACAAACTTTCCTACACATACAACATTTTGTGAGGCCCACACTTTTTGAAGAAAAAAGAAAAAAAGAAAATTACGGCACACAAAACGAATCTCTATAACATTACACAATTACTTTTACTACAACATAACTCTTATAAAACCCATAGTTATATTGAGAAAGGGTTTTCCTCAAAAAAAATTATGAAGAATTGGAATATTCAGTTTCAGTATTGCAGAATAAGTTTGCGTAGAAAAGAATATGGGAGTGAACTGGAACATTGAGAATGTAGAATAACAGGTGTTACATGTACATAGCGAGATCCTCTGGAGGAATTAATCAGTCACTATATCCAAGGTTAGGATATAGTGTAGAAAGGATAATAGCATGTATTGTTGTCAGTTCATCACCTACTATTTCCCGTTGAACACAAACAGGTGTTATTGGATGATTGGATCATATTCAAAGTCAGGAAAGCCAATAATATATGCATTATCATGAGCAAACTAGAGTATTTATAACTACATTCTGCCTTATATTGGTTTTGCACAAATCTTTTTCTTTTTTTTTTGTTTTTTTTCATCTTTGATGTCTTTATGTGACAGGGTGAAGAAGACATGTTCATGGCTTCCTTGATCTGCAATATGGATGTTAATTGCGAAAAGCATCTGATCTGCAAAACAGACTTAGATTGTGTGAAGACTCTGCATTTTGATACAGAGGTAGTTTTGGGTTTTAAATTTATTAAAATTCCATTGCATCAAATTTATTTCTTCAGTTCCAAGACATTTACTACTCAGAATTTGAAGGTGGTCATATCTTTCAACATAATAAAATTTATTTCCTTGCAATTATCATTTTAAGTCTGTAATTTCTGACCATAGGTTTTAGCATATACCAAACCTAGACCGTTACCTTGGTATTTAATACTGATCTGTTGATCACAATCTTTTACTATGCAAATAACCTATAACTGGACATCATTGTAGCTTCCTTGAAATTTATATTTTCACGTGCTTAATGATTATCACTTATTTTACTTTGACAGGTGAATTGTAATTTTGGAAATTCCTGCCAAATTCCTCCAGAATTTACATTGAATACTTGCACAAGTGATGTTTCAACAACGTACTTCATGGGAAATTCACCATTTCCATTTCTGGACAAATTTATTCTATCTGCTGCCTCTGTCGGGAATATACCAGGTGCTACTAGACAAAGCTTGCAATAATGACTTTAGGCATGTTTTTGTATAAGTAAATGGACCAATTTAATGAGTTTGATTTTGTTTCAACTTTGAATTATAATATGATACTTGCACATATTTTATTCTCACAAATCCTCACAAACTCCTATGCTCTCTGTTGGATAGCACTCTGGTCCAACTGATTTTTTTTTATGGTCCAAATCAGTCGTGCTTGGAGTCTATGACATGTTTGTGATGATAAGGTCCGTGCAAATATTGTTACTTTTTTGAATTTTTCTTGCTTTCTCAGAGCTATAAAACTAAAGTTCTGTGGCATACTGAAGAAAAAATTTGGATAGGTACTTGTGACTTTGCATTGCTTATTTTTCGTAACTAGAAGTTTCTTATCTTCACCACTTCCGAATACATTATATTATCTCTTTAATCTCAAGCTCAACTGATGAGTTGAGATTTTAGATGCTTACATGACTCTGGTCTTTCAGATCCAGAAACAACCTACCTCTCAGCCTTATTCTGGAATTTTCTCCATGGTGTTGTATTAGTTTTGTTGCTTATCGGTTTATCCACACTCACGTTTATTTTAACTTCCAGATATTCTGTTTCATGTTACTAAATTTTCAAGCTTCAGGCTTCTGCATAACCCCCTCACTGTATTGATAATTTGCTGCAATTATAGGAAAAATTCACAGCTGGTATTTTTTCTCGGAATTCGGACTGATGGTCTACAGCATGACAAAAAATAGATACTGCGAGAGAATAGGCAGACAGCATAAAAGCAATAATGGTAACTGTCTTGGTAGTTCTCATTTACTTATGCGTACTTTTTTTTTTTACCTGGAACTGCTTTTTGGCCATGTCTGAATGTTAATGGGTCTCCACTCTTGAATGAGTTTTTGACATTTTGGGTAGAGATTCCTTGCATTATGATTATGATTAGAAATTTAGCAAAGTCAGGGACGATTCTCATGTTTCTGTTGTAAGTAGAAGTATGGTTGCACCTTGTCTTTCATTTCGTTTTGTTCTCTATGATCTGATTACTGCTTACTAATACATTTGATGATTTACTCACCCAGTGATATATGTCGTTGATCTAAGAAGGGCAGTTTATTATCAGAAATGTCATGATCCTGACTGCAGAGGTTAATATATTTTCAGTCAAGTGTTTGAATACACTTCTGACACTCAATTTTTCAGTCTCTTTTAACATGCTAATTAATGGGGAACAGGTTATCGATCTCCCTTGCGACAAATTCCAGTTCATGTGTTCTCCGACCCTTCAGTTGTAATTGGTTCATCTGGAATGTTAGGTGATGAACAGCCACTAGATGATGAGAGGAGACATCAACTTGATGATAACAACAAACAAAATCTTCTACAGAATGAAGACACTGTTGAGGACAACTCCAATGATTCCTGGTGGCTAGAAGCTATAAGAGTAGTCGAGGATATGGAGAATAAGCAAACCAAGACAGAGCTAAGCACAATGGTTAGTCCATCTTAATCTTACTTTCGGACCTTGTCATTTACATTAAAATTGTCATTAGCCTCCCTCATTCTTTTGTTCCACAATAGGACTAAAGCCCTATCCCCAGCCCTTTATTTAGACAGTGCTAGAGATAGTGTGTTTTCAATGACAGTATAATTTGCTTTATCACAAGAAATGACTGACCTCTAGCATGATTGTGCTGAAAGAGATTTTTATTTGTCCACCCGGAACATAACATTGAATATTATTACCCTAAAATCTGTGCTTGAAGCAGGAAGAAATAGATGATGCAGACGATGAGTGGTGGCTGGCTGTAGAAAGGACTGCATCACAGGCTGAACTAACCTGCTTCAATTAATTCAGGATGTGAGCAGCAGAGTTCAGTTGATCAGCATTTTGTGCCTTGTAAGTATTTGTGGATCTGTCCATTGTACAATAATTCTACGACTTTCTACATGGGGGATCAACAAATAGCTCCAGGGACTTGATAACTAAAACCAGAGAAACGCTTTGTAGCACTTATCTGCTGCAACCAACTTAGGGATCCTGTGAGTTGGTCCTCTTAAAAGGGTAGAAAATGATTTTGCAGAGGATTCCTAGATTCACACCAGGTTCTACACGCGAGCAATTTATGGGGCTGTCTTCGACATGTTTGTGTATTTTTTTTTTAAATAATTGATGTCCTTGCAGTTTATATATAATGTTATAATAAAGGAAACGGTTTTTTTTTGGGGGGCAGAGTTAATTAGACCCTTTTTACTTTTACGAAATTAGCATAATTTAATTTGATAATTTCCAAAATGTTCTTATTTGATTTCACGTTGAAAAGTTAATTTCTCCTAAATTGAATTTTTTATTATTACATGTTGCGAAATCTATTTCTCCCAAACATACTCTATAATTTGTATTTTGTATTTTTTTAAGGATATATTGAGAAGTTGGTTTCTCCCAAATTGTTTTTTAAGTTGTTTTATTTATTGAATTTAATGAAGAAAAGTATGTTTTTAAATACATATATTGAAAAATTAAGTTAGGGATTAGTGTTTTTACGAGATAATTTTATTTTTTACACATAAAAATATATGTGGTTCATATTTTTTTCTTTCTTCTCTTTATATTATTTCACATTCTAATATATCTGTAGGAAATAAATATTATCTTTTAAAAACATCAATCCCATTAATTTCAATGGATGTTAAACTAAATACTCAGTACCACACGAATACTAAATTTTGGAATGTGTTATTTCTTCTGTAAGGCATAACTAGAGAAAAACATATGTAATTTACGGAAACACGTTTATCAGGTTATAATTACATGTATGTATGACTTAAAAATAAAATTATCTAGATTTCACTTATTAAAATAAAAAATAATAAATTTATGTGACATTAAAAATAAAGGAGTGAATAAAATAAGTATAATTATTCTAAGGGATGTGCAACAAAATACTCAGTACCACACGAATACTAATTTTATCCGTTGTGTGTATTCCCGAGAATCAATGTTTAATCTCTTTAAGAAGACTTGCTTGATCCAATTTTCATTTTGGAATGTGTGTTATTTCATCTGTTCCTTTTACTAATTTGTGCCGATTTGGACACCCTTGAATGCTTTGCATGTGGAAAGAAGCGAATAATACTACACAGGCAGAACTAAAAACATGGCATCCTCATACAAATAATTTGACTAATTTATAACTTTTCATTATGAAGTGGATGAAAAAATTATAATGTTATTAATTTGACTTTAATGAACCCATAATATATTACTTGAATATTTATATTTATTGATAACTAATTAACTATAGCTCGTATCTATTTTATCTTCCCTCACAATTTATGATTACACAAAAATATAAATCTTATTATGCAATTACTCGTGACTGTCTCTCTTGTTTCTCTATCTTGTGCAATGATACACTGTGAGAAGTATTAGAAGGTAAAAGAGAATAAAGAGAAAATATTAATTTCATTGATTGTGGTGAATTAATTTGTATAATGAGTGAGCTCTTATATAGAAGAGCATAACAGAAAAGAGAGATCTAGAATATCATTAAAATACTAAACTACCCTTATACCTAATATCTAATACTTCCCCTCAAGATGGAGAGTGAACAAAGAGAACTTCCATCTTGAACAAGAAAAACCAAGAAAACATAATAACCAAATAAAAAATCCTGAATGAGAAATCAAAATCTTCAGAGTGTTGGAATGAGCTTCAGCAAAATAACGGTGCTGGTATGGACATCAGCTAAAGAAGGGAGGGCTGGGATGGACATCAGCCACAAAATACTAAATGGTTCCGGGATGGACATCGGCAAAATCAAATGTTCTGAAATGAACATCAGTAAACTTGAATAACACCACAAACAAATGTGGAAATAAAATCTAAGTGGCCAAATACAAGCTAGAAACAGTACATCAAAAAAATAAAAATAAAATAAAAAACCAAAAATAATAGCAGTGTTGCAAAAACATCCATAGTTCATGAATCTTCACAAACCTGCAAAATGAGAAAAGAAAAAAAAACAAAGAGACAGATCTGGAACAGATCAGAAAAAAAATATTAGAAAATAAACATGACCGAGAAGCACCTGGAGAAGAAGAAAACACAGATCAGAAAACGTCAACGATCTGGAATGGCAGAGACGGTCGGAGAAGGAGACTGTGACCGGAAAAAAAAATGCGGCCAAAAATGATGACCGGAGAAGGAGACACGAAGAAGATCCATGGAGGTCCAACGAAGACAGGAGCGACGCGGTTCGGTGGTTGACAGGTCGCACGAAGACAAGAACTAGAAATAGAACAGCCACGAACGACGCCGGTGAATGAATGACGCCTTCTATGAAGGTGCAGAAACAAAGGGGCGCAAGTTGAGAATCAAAGAAGAACGGGAGAAGCGAGTTGATTTCTCACTGGTGAAGGATCAGAACAAAAATAGTAACAGTAACGATAATAGAGAAAAAGAAGTAGGAAATGGAAAAAAAAAATTACAGATCTGTAACGTAAATCACTGGAGAATGCTGGAAAACACAGGCAAACAAGATACATTGGACAAAAAATAAAAATCCGAAGTAGATGACCCAAAACAACGAAGAAATCACAGATCTAGGACATAGAAAAAGGAAGGAGAAAGAGTAGCTCTGATGATAAAAAAAATGCACAAATGGAGATCAGATCCGGAAGAAAGGAAACAAAGAAAAGAAAAAAAAATAGTGATTGCAGCAGAATCTCCGTTCATGGAGGATAAAAATGCTCTGATACCATATTAGAAGGTAAAAGAGAGTAAAGAGAAAATATTAATTTCATTGATTGTGGTGAATTAATTTGTACAATGAGTGAGCTCTTATATAGAAGAGCATAACAGAAAAGAGAGATCTAGAATATCATTAAAATACTAAACTACCCTTATATCTAATATCTAATAAGAAGACATATGAATCTGCAATTTTTGATAACGCTGAAGGAAGCCATAGTTGTCTACACCCACCTTCTTCACCGTTCTCGCTCGTCTCCTCGTCGTTCCCAACTACGTCGTTTCGGGTCTCTTTGGTATCTCTGACTCTCACCACTATTCTGGGTTTTGTTTACGGGAAAAGTGTTTGTAATTTTAAACGAAATAAAATTATGTCAATTTAAGAGAGACAGATACAAAAAAATATTTATTTTAAAAATTTAATTAAAAAAAACATGTACTTTCTATTTTATGATTTTTATTTTTTGTGTCTATCTTTTTCTTAAAATGACATAATTTATGTCATTTAAAATAACAAACACCAAACTCTTTCTTCATATACTCTTTTATCTCTGTTATTTAAATTATCTGTTTATTTTGTGCCCTTTTGCTGATATGGTGATATGGTTCTTTTTATTTTTGAACTCCTTTCATTTTTGTTACTGATAAGGTGAAAAGAGGATTAGCTTCTCAAATTTTGAAATTTCCCATATCAGTAACTAACATTTTGGTATGATTGGTAGGAGTCGAAAATGGGAAGGCTAGGGTTAGAGGATTGAAATTCAACCATTGTATGATAAATGATATCTTCTGAATTTTGAAATAAGATAGATAGGTATGTATTTAAAAATCACCTTTGTTGAAGATAGGATTACTCTTGTTCTGGCTTGCTGTTTGACCGACATAATCACTCTTATTTAACAATTATCTTTATCTTCAAATTAAAAAAAAATGGCAATCTAATGTAACTATCATTATCATAATTCTCTAGATATGATAAATTCAAATTTGAAGTAATAATAGGTCAGCCCTCCTATATAACTGCTTTCCTAAATCACAGGGCCTTCATATATTTTTCTCATACGTTGCTTATTGTTCCTTGCAAAGCAAGACTCCTGGACCAGTATATATATTGCCAGCCCATCTAATTTTCGATCACATTATCCTTCCTTTTTATTCTGCCTATCTTTTTTTTTGCTCTTCAACATGCACCTTCTTCCCTCTATTGATGGTACCATAACAAGTGGGACTAAAATGCAAGAAAATGCACTCAATAATATACCACCTGGTTACAAGTTCTATCCTGATGATGTTGAATTGATCGAGTTTTATTTGAAGCCAAAAATTGCTGGTCATATCATAAATCCTGGCCGGATTCATCATGTTGACATTTACATGCATTCTCCTCAAGAACTAAATGGTTATATATTTATATGCATATGCTTCATATTTTTTAATATATCTTTTTCCCCCATTAGTTTATGAAATATATATTATATGTTCAGCTCAATAGATATTTTACAATTCGAAATTTTGTTTCCTGAATAGTAACAATAGTTGTATTAAATTTATTCTAATTGTTTTTTCTTTCGTTGTTGCACTTTTATACAGATACATATAAATACAAAGGAGAGGAACATACATACTATTTTACTCCAAGAAGCAAGAAATACCCTAATGGAAAACGTCCTAATCGCGCTACTGGAGACTTTGGTTTTTGGAAAGCTACTGGAAAAGAGAATCCAATAATAAGCAATAACACTGTAATTGGAAATAGACGGACTTTGGTTTTTTACCAAAAAAAACCTACAGATGCAGTGAAAGAAGCAGTGAAAACCAATTGGATTATGCAAGAGTTCACAATTAACAAAGACAAGAATCTTGCAAGTTCAAGTACAACTCCTCCTTGTAAGGTACAATATTCACGAGACTTGATTTAATAAAAGGTTGCAAGAGTTATACTTTTCTTATGTATGTCAGTTTTTTATTTTTTATTTTTAATTTTTATTCATTTAAATGAGATTCACGTCCTTCTTTTTTAATAAGAAATTCACATTACACTTTTTTTCTCTCTCGTAATAATATGTTTCGCTACTCTCTAATTCACATTAAAGGAAGGAGAATGTGATCGAAAATTAAATGGGTTGGCAATATATATACTGATCCAAGAGTCTTGCTTTGCAAGGAACAATAAGCAATGTATGAGAGAAAAGAGGTGAAAGCATAGGAAACACAGATATATAGGAGGGGTGAACTATTATTACTCTTAAATTTGAATTCATCATATCTAGATAATTATGATCCCTTTACATACTACTTCCTCTATTCTTTTGTTTTCCTTATCACCTCTGAGCTGATGCCATAAAGAAGTATATGAACATATTTCTACCTTTGCATTTCCATTCCATCTCCCATTCACTCTCTTTCTCTTTAATTTAATAAAAGGAAGACTGACTCAGTCAGAAATTGAAGAATTGCATTTGAGGATTCTTTATGGTATTATCAACTCCTAATTCAAGAAACCTAACTGTCAGCTAAAAATGAAAGAAAGAAAAATAGTTTCTTGTCTTTGTTCTGGTCCTTAAGGGCCTGTTTGGAGCACCTGATAAGGAAGATAGGATAGGATAACTTATCATATCCTACTTTTATCTCTTGTTTGGTGAGTCAATAGGATATGATTAGCTTATTCTATTGCTTCATTTTATCCTATCCAATATATGATTTCTTATCCTATGGGGGGAGCTGGGTTAGGATTCAACAGGATAGGATAGCAATATTTAATACCCAATATATCCTCACGTTACCCAATATCCTCACTCTACCCAATATATTTGTATTTATTGCATTATATTTTATTTTTTATTTTTCTTTCTCTTTTTACATAATCTTATCAGATTCCTAATCAGGTGTTCATCAAACACAGGATATGATATAGGTTTATCAGTCTCATATCATATCCTACCCTTATCTTATCTTGTACACCAAACGAGCCCTAAATGAACTTAGCAATTCTTTGGTTTTATCTTAATACTGAAGTTTTTCATACTCTTGAGTCATATAAGGATACTCATTATGCAGTTCTTTAGTTACTGAATAATGTTTCATTTATTGTTCACCTACCAGTTCTCTATGATTCTCAGGTAATATCCTAATCTTTTACTACATTAATATTATCTGGGTTAGTGCTAATGAGCACCGAAAGACTTTATTGCTTTGTTAAGATGTTACATCCTATCTCTTATCTCTTTAGCTTATCGCTAATCCTTAGTTTAAAGTTGCTTACAAGGATTTCCCTTATCCTACCCTTGCTAGTTGGGGTATAATGGGGAGTATTTTTTTTTTTAAAATCTAAAATGAAATGAATAATGGAAAAATTGGGTAATAATTTAGTTTGCATATAATACTAGCTATAACTAATGGGCTTTTGATGCATATCTATATTTAGTATACTTCAATTCATTGTAGATTAATGACTTATCTATATATCTTCATTTTATACGCAGATGCTGTTGGATGATTGGGTTCTATGTAAGATTTACCAGACTAAGCATGAGAAGGAAAGACAAACAAATGTTGTTGCCACTCCAGAATGTCAACCCGATCAACTTTTTCAGGCTCAACAGATGCAAACTCGCATGTCCACGAATGTGGTTGCTACTCGACAGTTTGAACCCAACCAAGCTGCTCCAGCTATACAACCTCACTTGTCCACCGATCTAGTTCCCACTTTAGAGTGTCATGCCAATCAAAATTCCCAAGCTCATTATATGCAAAATTCCTTTTCCTCTTCATTCACTTGTCCAGGTAGTAGCATGCCCCAAAATTCATTTATTCCTCCTCATTCTTCACTTCCATTACAATCACTTGATGATTCGTTGGAGCTAGTTGAGACTCATGTGGTTGCCACTCCACAATGTCAACCAAATCAACCTTCTAAGTCTCAGTTTATAGAAAATCCCCAAAACTCATTTATTCCTTCCTATTGTTCACTTCCTCCTCCTATGCGATCAGGGGATTTCTATGGTTCTTGTGAGCAAAAGGACTTTAATGATGTTGATACCTATGTGGCTGCCACAAATGTGGTTGTTACTCCACCGTTTCAAGGCAATTTTTATTCTCAGGTTCAAAATATGCAAATGTCCTTTTCTCCTTCTTCCCCTTCCTTAGGTAGTTGTATATTCCAAAACTCGGTTATTCCTCCTGATTCTCAATTTCCTGTGCAAACATCGGATAATGAGTACTATAATGCGTATGAGTGCATAAGCTTCGATGATACTGATGCACATTTTTGATTTTGAACAAAGATTTTGATTTACTTGTAAACAAATTTCTTTCATAACCCTTCGTTGCCACATGAGCTACTTATTTGATGGTGCAACTTTAGTTACCTTATCCAATTTCTTGATGTAAATAACAATTTTTGTTTTCTTCTATTGTTTCATTTGTTTTGTTAATAGTAACGTTTGAAAAAAAAAATGTTCTATTTTATATAGTTTTTGATACCTTGTCAGTGGATATGATGTGAGGAAAAATAGAAATTTGCGAGAAATTAACCGGTTTTGTTTGAAATTAAAGATGGTTTGTACATAATTCCCTTTAGTATTGCTGACCATGTTAACTTATGAGTTTATTTTTGATCTTATCATCTGTTTCTACATCATTAAAAGAACTTTATTATATAAAGGAACTTTATTTCACTATGAAATTTCAAAATTTTATCGCTAATAAAATTCTGTTTTTATATTACATGTCCAAACCTTGAATAGGAATCTCAGTCGTGTTTTCTTTTTAAGTTTTAGTTCCTCATCGAGTGAATCTCATTCTTTCACCCTTATTGTTATTTTTTTTTTAATATATCTACTTGTTCAACCATTACCTGATTAGTTCGGTTTGAATATTGTCAGATCCATTGTAAGGGATTGTTTTATCAAGATTATTTTCTTTATTCCCGGGACTTTAATTCAAGATTTTTGATTAAGAGGAATAAATCTCTTACTACTTGAACCAATAATTGTTGATTATTTTTTTCTATATAAGGAGCTCATTTTCATTTGTTCTACGGTATGAAAAAAAATTTCAAGACACTTGAGGTTTTTAGCCAAAAATAAAATAAAATGAAACAATGTAGTTGTTGTTGGGGTTTAGCTCTTCGAGTATTGGGGATTAGTTTTTAGACATTTCCAGGGTCGATATATTGGGTCTTTACCCTTAATTCGAGATGAGTTTGTCTCCCAAATCCTTGAATATAGGGAACAACAGTATATTGTAAAAAAATTTATGAAAATATTTATTTTCCTATGAAATTTGTATGATATACCGACAGAATTCTCGATATGGATCTGGATCCTCTAATGTGAAAATTCACATGATCATGTAATGTAATGTGGGGAATCATAACTATACAAAGGTGGATCAATAGTAAAAAAGGAGGAGAGAGAAAAAATGATAAAATAGGTAGTTACGAAATCATAACCGTTGATTTACCTTTGTATGATTGTGATCTTCTCACATGACCATATCATGTTTTTTTGACACATTAGAGGATCCATTTCCGTCTCGATATACCCTGAGCGGTCAAAAAATATCCAGCAATCGCAAGGCATTTTGAAAGATTCCATGTAACCCCGATTATTTAGATTGCAAACACGAGAAATAATATTCCCTTATTATTATTATTTTTATTTTCTCTCTTCTTATTTTAGCATAATAAATAGATGAGTTTGATGTTTGTCATTTTAAATGACATAAGTTATGTTATTTTAGGAGAGAGATAGACACAAGGAATGAAAATTATAGGGGAGAAAGTGGGTGGTTTTTTTTTTAATTTAAATTTTAAATAATTTTTTTTATTTTGTGTCTATCTCTATCTTAAAATGACATAACTTTATGTCATTTAAAATGACAAACATTTTTTCTAAATTAGAATTGTTTTCTTTTTCGTCTTTAATTCTCTCCTTATTTTAAGGGTATAATTTAAAAAAATCCTCAAATAGAAAAGTTTTAGTAATTTTTCGCTATATTATTATTATTATTATTAAATAGTGATCACTCCTTATAATTATTTGGGAAAACTTCAAAATTTCCTCCGTAAGTTTTCTCTAAAATCACTTGCTCTCATCCCCAAAATTTTGAATAATTTACACCCTTACATAAAGATTCTTTATCACTTACCCGCTAACTTAATTTTTCATCCAAAAATAAAGTTAACACAAATAATTTTTTTGAAAAAGTACCTTAACTACCCTTAAATAAATCAGAAAAAAACAATGTAGAGGAACCCTTGATGTCCGATGGCTGCAACATGTGTCGCCTTGTCTTCGTCTGATGCGTTGTAGTCTTCTTCTTTATCATTGTAGAGGAAGAGAGAAAACGCAAAGCACAAGAGTACATAACTTCGAAATGGGGGGAGGAGAAAAATTTGTAAGTGTTCTTGTGTTGGATTTCGTAGATCTGAGTGTTTATCTCTCTTTGTCTGAAGCTTGTGGTTCTATGATTCCTATCCTCTGTGTTTATGTTTTTAACGACCCTTTTTCCTTCTTTCTCTCCAAACGCCAACTCTCGCACAACATAATCCACTCTTTATGGTGAACTAGATCCTTTTTGTGTTCTTTTTCGTGGTCGATGCTTATTTTGGATTTTGGATATTTTTGTGTGTGTGTGTGTGTGTATTTGTGTTGAATCAATGATTATTTCCAAGTTGAAATTTTTTGAGATTACAAATTCTGACACTCACATGTGTAAGTGAATGAAACTTACAGGATTTTTTTTTAATAAGTTTTCCCTCATTCTTTCACAATGACTTTAATTATGCAAGTTGTAACACCCCGTGTATATCCAATTTGTTAATATGTCATCGTATTAAGCCACGCTTAATTAAAAATGCGGAATATCTTTTTCTTTTCAATTATGACGTCATTATACTTAGCCAACTTGATTACTTAATTATTTTCATAAAAACATCGCCTGTATGTAAATTGCAAAAAGACAGCTAACTGAAATACCTCAAGATATAATTAAGTGAGTATCTAAGTCACAGATCTACAACACGTAGTCCGGACAATATCCTGATACATTAATACAACTCAAAACTAAAAGCATAAGGTCAAGTCAATGTGGCATGGACAATCCCCATGCTCACCAAATAAACAATATAACCAACAGAGTCTCAACACAATAATCCATAAAGCTAATGACATAATAGCTACAGACATAATATAACATCCAAGCATAGTCAGCATACATAAGCAGATAAACATCAATCAACTAAGCTCCGGCCTCCTGCCGCTAGAGATATCAACCCCTGGGTTACCTGAACCTGAAATAAGCGCCCCAAACGTGGGGTGAGATATCTAAACAGAAATCTCAGTAAGACAAGGGGTGCTCAAGGATCTTCCTCTCCAAGATCACTTACATGTACAATATAAGTTCCAAAGCAGTTAAACAGTATAAGTCCCAAAACAGTGCAATGCAGCAGATAATCGTGTCATGTGTGTTATACTAATCTATTGGCCAGAGAAATGTAGGAATAAGTCTATTACCCACACTAGTGCAAGACGCCACTTGCACCTACCCACAGTGTCACCATCTTGTATGACGCCACATACTCAGGCTTACCGTCTAAGTGGAACAACACATACATATTAAAAGCAATTGCACATATAGCTCAACAACATTTTCAAGTATCAAAGCATGTAAACACATCATGCATATAAACCATTGCCCGTGAGGTATGGTGGAACCACACAATGGTTAAACCGAGGACACGGAAGCTTACCTTGCAAGCTAACTATCCAAGCCAAGAGTCCACACAAGCTCAAGGCCCTCAAACAGCACAATCACAATCTGTTCATACCAAAATTAATCATTAATAATCATAGCTCAGATTACATTAAGTGATTAAGTCTTTCTAACTCATTTTAAGTCATTTTATGTTGTTTCTACAGGAGGTATTCGAATACTCCTCGATGAGTATTCGCATACTCCTTGTCTCCAGAAAGTATCTGAATACTTTCACTTAAGTATTCGAATACCACACAGTATCCGAATACTTTACCCCCCAGTATCCGAATACCAAAACTCACTGTATTCGAATACTATCCAGTATTCGAATACTTCTTCAAAGGTATCCGAATACTTTTCTTCCCAGAAAAGTATCCCAATAGTCCTGCAGGGAGTATCCGATTACCAGAGGACAACTATTCGAATACTATCCGAAAAGTATTCGAATACTTATCCCTCAGAATGCAGAAATACAAACTGTCATCTGCATAATCCCATTTTTAGGGGTCCAAACGTGATTTAGAGTCCAATGACTCCATAAACAGATGTTCATTAACATGTTAAGAACTCAGAAACACATTCCTTTACTCAAATGGTTGAAGTTTCTCTTTTTAATAAATTAAACAAATTAAAAACATCAAAATGACAAAGAGGTGATCATGGCTCACCTCCAATGCTCAAAAATCAGAAAATGAGGCGGAATAGAACCAACTACACACCAAGGTTCTGACTTTGTCAAGCCACGAAAATGCACTACAAGGTTGGACCTTTCTCTCCAATGGTGGCTTCTTGAAGCCTTAAATGACAAGAACAAGGCTCCACTTACTCCAACTCAGAAAAACAGTCTCCTAGACCTCCAAACTTTGAAGCTAAAACTCAAAAAAGAAGTGTTTCCCTCACTCACAAAGCAAGCTCACACCAAGCTATGGTGTTTAGGTTAAGAAACAAGGTAGAAAGGTGAGTTCTTTAGGAATTTCTATGGAGGAAAGCTCAAGTCTTGAGAGGAGAAGAGGGTGGCAGCAGCTGGACAACAACTCTCACGTAGGAATTGGCTGAGTATCAGCCTAGGGCATTGTGCCTTTAAGTATATATAGGCGCTTAAGTTTTAAACACATATTATTAACAATAACAGCTACGCTTAGCATTTTAATCTCAAACTTTAGCTTCTGAATCTAGCCATTTTTCTAAGATTTAACATATTTTTATTTTATTTTTCGCAGCACCTTTCCGGTACGCGCTTTTACATAGCCAGTATCAGTTATGGCACCATTTCTCATTATTTTAACTTGAAACTTGAAATCACAGTCCTATATATTATTCTAGGAATATTCATGCACTTATTATAATTTTCTGTGATACTTCACCGGTACGCATTTATACCGAGTAGCAGAACCAGTATCTGCACTTTTCGTCACAAAATAGACTATCAACATTATAATTCACTTACCATAATTATTTAAGCCTTATCATAATTATTTGGGTCAATTATGGAATTATTTCCTAATTTCTCATA